ATGATGCCAAATGCAGACTTTGCAAAGAAGCTGATGAAACTGTTGATCACATACTCAGCTGCTGTAAAAAAATCGCGCAGACCGATTATAAATTGTTGTTCAAGTTCATGTACTGTTATAACTGTTATTTGTATTACTGGATGCTAATTTTCAGAGTTAGTTTATTCAGAAGCTTTTACAAGTATTAGTGAATAAGATCTAAAGTGTATCAAGAGTACAGTTGAACAGAACTATTTTAATAATGTTCTTAAAGATTACCATATCTTTATTTGGTATTTATTAAATTTACATGACTGCCCAACTCACTACTAGGTGACTAGTAGTGCAGTCCAAGGGATGCAAGTGCTTGTTGAGAGAGGAAGCTAGAATAGTAAATAGTAAAGTAACAGGCAAATAAAATGTAGTACATTAATATACAATAATGGGCAGTCAAAAGCTGCTGGATGTGTCTATATCATGTTCATTGTAAGTTCAACTTACGCCACATTGAAATGCCAAATTGCAATAGCTATTTTATGGATCATTGTGCTCTGGCAGTATAAAAAACTGCTTAATCTCTGTGAAATCTTAAGCCTTTATCTAAAATTATTACTATAGGCAACTTTCTGGCAACCTTTCAACTCCTCTAAGTAAGAAAATGCTGACAGAAAACCAAGTTTCCTATTTGTAGAAGGCAAATGTATCAAAGTGCAGTTCTAGAAATCTTCAGTTAATTAAATGACAGTTGTTCCTAAATAAAAGATTATAGCATTTAAAAATCTGTTGGAATTCTGTGCAGGTGAATTCGAAAGCATTCATTTGAATTGTTCAGAGAAAATATTGTAGATCTGAAGTGAAAACAGGAGCATTCTTACTGAACATCGTAATTTAATATTTCCTCAGAATTTCCCATTGATTTCAACGGAATTACTTTCATATGACACTTTTATGTTCCTTTGGAAAACCTATCAAGGTCAATTTTTGAGAAATAGTTATGAAGAAGCAATAACGAAAATGCATCTTCCAGTGCATTCGGGGTGCAGAACTCAGGGTGGAAAACAAACCCCAACAACCCAAGTACCCAGATATGATCGTTGCACCGTCAGAATAATAATTTAACTTTTTGCGTTTGTGGAAAGAGGTCGCAAAGCATAACCGGACCGCGCAAGAATGGGCTTTTGTTTTGGAGTTGGCCAAGGGGAGGAGCGGCCAGAAGGGACCATTGAGAAAGCTTTCAGTGGGGGCTTGTGTCGCTGGAAGATGACGTAGAATTCCGGGGGAAAACGAAACTCACACTCTTCCCACGTGTCGCGCTTTTAACAGCGGGCGGAGAGAGCGGGTGGCTGGCCAGGTTGGCGTGCAACACCCTCCCCCCTCTCCTTTCCCCGGGAAAAGGAGCCCTCCAGGCGAAGGGATTTCTTCCCGCGGGTGCCTAAAGATGGAGCATCTGCAGTTCAGTCTAGCGGGCCCGTTGCAACTAATAGCGCAAAGGAACGAGAGGAGCAGCGGCGAGCTCAGCCGGTTCCTCGCCAAACAGGTGGGAGAGAGCCACAATGGCAGCGGCGCCCTCTCCGTCCTCGCCACTGGGTGGGCGGCGGGTGGGGAAAGAAGGGTGGACCTGAACATAGCGCGGAAGTCTTGATTGTCCGTCTTCTCCGCAAAAGATCGGCCTGGCTTGGAAGCTAAGGAGGAGGAGAGGGCGAGCTGGGGGTCTCTCACCTTCTTTGTCTGAAAAGGAAGGAGGTCGGGGAGGGAGAAGCGAGGGTGCAGGAGAATCCCTTTCCACTAGTCTCGCAACGGCCACACACAAACATTGGCCAGCCTCCTCCGTTTGCCCCCTTGATCGCCTTCCAAGAGAAATGCGGTGCAAGTGGAAACTTTCTCACCTCCGGCAATAGATTAATAGATGGTGTTTTGGTGGTCAAAAGCGAAACGCCATACATTTCGATGGTGTTACCTGGTCTGGTAAACGAAACGTTATTAGATTGAAGATTAAATTGAAACAAGTCAGGGCCAAAATCTAAAACCCGAGCTTACATGTATTTTCTATTTTTATTTCCTATACACTTTCACCCGCTTTCCCTTTCAGAAAGTTTTCTCATCTACTGGGTCAGACAGAACTAGGCTGGTATTCTTCTCGTTGTCCATAAGTCACACATGGTTTCTACTACCATTGATTTAAGACAAGAGAAGAATGGGAAATTTTCCTGTGTGAATTTTGAGCAAGTCTTGAAAATAACTTTTCCTTATCAGGGTAGGAGAGCATCTTCCAAAATACTGCTCTTTTGTTACATGCCTTTCATTTTCAATGTAGTTTCCAGGAGAGATTAGGCTCACTAGCATGGCTATTGTAGTACATCTAAAATGAGGGCATTACATTCTATAGTCTAAGGCAGGGGTGGGCAACTATGGCCCCTTTATGACCTGTGGATCTCAACTCCCAGAATTTCTGAGCCATTGTGCTTGGCTTAGGAATTTTGGGAGTTGGATTGCACAGGTTATGAAGGGGCCATAATTGCCCTACCCCTAAACTATAGTGTGCTAGCTCTACAGTATGTATTCAGCAGTAGAGTTTAATACAAATCAGTGTGAAGAATAATGGATTAAATTAACATCAATAATAACCCTAGGCTATGTGTCTCTCCCTTAAACTTGCTGATATTCTGAGAACTTACAGGACACCAATTTACATCTCTGGTATCCTTGAGACTTGGGTGTGGGGGATGGGAGAAGGCATTTACAAGCAAGGATGGATTTCCCTCCCTCTCCACATTCCTCAGAAGGAAAGAACTAACATTTTCTATAAACTGTAAGACATGGGTGTCAAACGTCATGTGACATTTTTGGCCTTTCTGGAGCCAGGGTGGGTGTGGCTGTGGCCTGCGGGCCGCCAGTTTGACAGCAATAGCAGTTAGACTTATATACCGCTTCATAGGGCTTTCAGCCCTCTCTAAGTGGTTTACAGAGTCAGCATATCGCCCCCACAGTCTGGGTCCTCATTTCACCCACCTCGGAAGGATGGAAGGCTGAGTCAACCTTGAGCTGGTGAGATTAGAACCACTGAACTGCAGATAACAGTCAGCTGAAGTGGCCTGCAGTACTGCACCCTAACCACTGCGCCACCTCTGCTCTAGGGGATTCTCTCAGGCCTGCTCTAGGGGATTCTCTCAGAAACTACAAGATTATTTATGAGGGATTTAAGGAAAAATATTCAGTTCTTTGGCATCAGCCATGGTACATTTTTGAACAGCAGTGATATTCTGTTATTGCTAAAAAAAACAACCTCCAATGTTGTGGATTTGATTTTGCTTATCCTCATTCACATGTTCTGATCCATAGTTTTGCTACATAAATCATGATTAATATTGTACTTCATATCTTGTTTGTTTGGTTTTGAGTTAGTTTTAGTAAAAACATGGGATGGAAGACAGTTAATGATTAAAGTAATACATAAATTCAGGCAATAATAATTTTATTTCCTAATCAAATCAAATACTAACTATAGTCTTTCACCAACTTGGGATATGAACCGAGAAATTAAAAACAGTACTTTTTTCCAGTGCTCACTTGTGTAAAGATTTTCAGAGATTGCTAAACCCCACAGTTTCTGGGGCAAGGTTTTTCAGAAATGGTTTGCCATTCTTTATTCCTAGGGATGAGGGAAAAAATCACAGTTTGGCCCTAGACTAGAACTAATGGTATCATAGTTTCTAGCCTGATTCCTTAACTACTACACTTCTGTCTCAAGAACAATAATGCTAAAATCTAAATTAAGAGCTATGACTAAAATTAAGTATTAAGATCATACACAGGATAATGTATTAATCTACTTCTAAAATAAATTTCAGATTAGCTTTTAGATTGCCTTGGGTGAAAATCCCAAATACTGGAGTACAACTGTTCAAAAAAGAGATAGAAATCTGGCTCTTTGCCAAGTTGTTTGGTAAGTTAGAGTAAGACCCTTCTCTTCATTCCATCTAGACTGCTGTGTTTGTCAACTTCTATTGTTTTATTGTTTCCCAACATGGCTTGGGACCAGGTTATCTGAGGGACCATCTCTTGCCCGTCACATCTACCCCACACATCAGAGTGGGGGGAATGTTGCAAGTCCATCCCCAAAGGAGAGAACCTGGTGAGACCCAGAAAAAGGGCCTTCTCCGTGGTCACTCCCTCTCTGGAACATCATTCCCCCAGGGATTAGTATGGTCCCCACTCTAATACTCTTCCCGAAGGTGCTGAAGACCTGGTTCTGCCAGCGGGTCTGGATAACCCAGAACGGGATGAGCCCATTAAGTGGCTCGTGTTATCTGTTGCGGGGGTGGGGGTGATTTTGTTATACTACACTATATTAATTTATTTAATTCTTTTTGTTAGTGTTTATTGTTTTAAATGTGATTTTATATTCTGAGTCGCCATGGGCGAATAGGCAGCAACATAAATTCAATAAACAAACTTGAACTGGCATTGACAAAATCACCATCAGTCAATTGCAAAAGACAGTTTTACTTGGAACAGCTTACATTCTGTGATGATATCTTCAAACACCATCTGCCTATCCCAGGTCAGGGTAGACTTGATAGGTGGATAAAAATACCAAATCTAGTCTAAACATCTGATTGACATTTGTATGTTGCTGAGTCCCAGTGATTCTGGGTGGTTCATAACAACCAAACAAATTATAATAAAACAATAGAAGTTGGCAAACATAACCGTCCAGATGGAGTGAAGAGAAGGGTCTTACTGTCCCTTACCAAACACCTGGGCAAGGGCCAGATTTTTACCTCTTTTCTGAACAGCAATAGAGAGAGCCTTCTGGAGCTCATTGGGAATCTTCTTTGAGAGGACAGGTGCTGCTACAGGGAAAATATGCTTCCAGTGTCCCAACATATGACATGTAATTGAGGAACTTGAAGAGTGTCAACTGAATGGAGAACTGTGGGAGACAGGCAGTTCCTCAATTAACCAGGCCATATGATGCCTAGGGCTTTATAAGTAACAACCACCTTAATTTGCACCTGATAACAAAGATCTCAGAAACAATGTATGGAATGAATGAATAAATAAATAAATAAATGTGTGTGTCTGTGTGTAAATTGATTGTAGAACTAACATCGGCTGTTAATTTTATAGTCTTTTCCTTGATTTGCCTGATCCTTTCTTTGAAATCATCCTTATTGGTGACCATTACTACAGTAAAATGTATGATAGGAATAGTGAATTTGAAATATACTTAACTTAGAGATGTCAGTTATAAGGTAACACTTTATATGAGCTGTCCATGTACAATATTTATCTTCTATATTTACTTTAACCAATTATTAATCTGTGGGAAGAATACTTGTTAACTGCTAATTTTGCTCAGTTGTTTTTGATAAAGGACTCTTTCAAAAATCTTGGCAGATAGAAATGCAATATCTCTCTAAGGGTCTGTATTTTTTTGACACTTTTTTTGTCTTAGTTTATATATGTATGTTTGTAGCTCATTTAGGCAGCTGGCACTGTATTTGTCCTCTCTAGTGATGATGATTCAACGTAATTAGGGATAGGGGGGAATCCTGGTTTTAATTTGACATTTCTTCCTTTTCAGATTTGGAGTCATCAGGACCGTCAGTCCATTCTCACTGCCCTATCACAGTTATTACTAGATAAAGAATGCACACTTCTGATTGGCCGACAGCTTCGTCCAATCTTATTGGATTTATTGGAGAGAAATGCAGAAACAATTAAATCTTGTGGCCAGATCAACCATGATCTTCATGAGAGACTCTGTGTTGCAATGAGCAAACTTATTGGTGATCATCCAGATGTGATGCCGTAAGTGATGATATAAGTCTACATGTCTTTTAATATGCACAGTAGCAGATAGTTGGATGGAGACTAACAATGGGTTCACATGATTATCAAGGTTAAAAATTGTATGTGTGTGTTGGATTCTAATTTGGCTTAGGAATTGTAATGAGTAATTAGATTCCCTTGAACTTGTTTGAGTATCTGCTTAGCATTGTACATTTTTTTCAGTTTTATCAAGCACATATGGATTGTTATTATATTATGTTAAAAACCAAGATGCTTTTTAAGGTTCTATTTTTTATTTTTATTTGAACATATTTATATACTGCTCCAGTCTTAACAGTCTCAGGACAACAAACTCAAGATAATAGAAAGAAAAAATAAATAATAAATTGCCACAGTCAAGCATCTAGAACATGGGTGTCAAACTCGCTGCTTCATGTTGCCGTCATGTGATATACTGTGATTTTCTTCCCTTCACGGAGCTGGGGTGGGCATGGTTTTTCTTCTAGGATATGTAAGTTGACTTTAATTTCTGAACAAGCAAGATTTTGGCAATTAATGGTGCTTGTTTCTTCTGTTTAAGATAAAGTCTGCTGAAATGGCCCTTATGAATGTTTACTTAAAATTATTTTCCAAATTCATCAGATATTAGAATGTTATATGTGTTCGAGCAAAAGCTTTAGTGAGTACTGAATGAGTTGAACTTTGTGCACTGTTTTTGCTGGGGCTGTATATTATTCTATTGTTTTGTGCAGATTTGCTTTGAAATACTTTAAGGACACTTCACCTGTGTTTCACCGACTTTTCCTGGAAAGTTTGGATACAAATGTGGTTCGATATGGACGGCGCAGAATGAAGTTGAGGGATCTCATGGAGGCAGCCTACAAATTTCTCCAAAAAGATCAGTCTGTATTCAGAGAATTATGGGATTGGAGTGTTTGTTTCCCTTTACTAAGGAGCCATGATACTTTGGTTCGATGGTAACTTTCATTTTCTTACATTTATGTGGTTCATTTAATGAATTGGGAAGGCCTTACAGGCATTTTTACCTTTATTACATAATTCATAAGTTAGATTATTAAGCAAGCAAAATTCCCTGAGCATATAAGAACTTCTAAATTGGCAGGTAAAGGAACATTCAGTAAAACTATTCAATTTTATGTAGCCTAAATGTAAGCAAAATGGACTGTCAGACAATGTTTTTGTTAGACTCCCAAAAATGAGAATTACTCATGAAATATATAAATTAGTTCTTGCATTTCTCATTTAGAATACTATGTGTGATAACTTGATTACCATGTGTTCATGGACAAGTTTGTTTCATGGAAATTTCTCCTATATGCATTTTGTGCTTATTGACACATGAAAGTGCTCTGATAGAAATCTTTTCAGACTTATAAAATCTCCAAGGTAGAGAAGTTTTTGCTTAAAAGAATTTTAGTAGTGGGTGATGTTTTCCCTTTACTTCTATTAGAAAGTGGATCTAACATTTATCTTTTGATTACCTTGACTTTAATCTTTCTAGAAAATCTGATCAATGTCAAAGTAATTATGAAAAGTGGCCAGGCAAACTAATTTGATGTTTTTATAGCATTTCTTCCCCCCCCCCCCTTGTATAGTTCATCCTTCCTTAGGCTATTGAGTTTAAAACTGATGAAGCAATCGGGTTTGTTAGAAATCTCATTAGGATAATATTGTAGATTTCCACAGCTAAACTCCAGACTCCTTCATTAGTCTCACTCTAAAATATGAAGCTTACTTCCTTGGTTTGTTCTTCTCGTTACATTAATTTTATGTCATCAGAATTCATTCTCTCTTTTTCCCCTTCTGATAAATGTCATTTAAATGTCATTACCATCATTTAAAAATGATGGTAATAAAACTGATATGGCCCATTTTTATGGGCAACTTGTAACTGATTTCATGAAACTAGTGATATACTGTATATTAGAGAAACTATTAAACTAAATGATTGTATGGAGTGGGGCAGAAGTGTCAAACTCACGTCATCACAACATCGTCACGTGACATATCGCGACTTCACCTCCTTTGTTAAACGGTGTGGGCGTGGCCAGCATGTGACACATGTGGCCCGCGGGCCGGGAGTTTGACAGCCCTGGAGTAGGATAACCGTTTTTCATCTCTCTCTAAAATAAAATATGTTTAGAATTCACATTATAATGTTACCTGAACAATTGTTCCTACATAGGTATACTGCCAGCTGTCTTGCTTTGGTTACATGCATGAATGATGAGCACCGATTATCTTTCCTGAAGAAAACTTTTAATCCAGAAGAGTTAATACATTTTAGACTTAAGTAAGTTTTCACCCTTCTCTTCTTCTATTTGCTCCCCTTTGGTGAGCAAAAGAGAACAAAAATATTTTCTAAAATATCCGTTTAGTAGATCAGTCTGCTGTATTAACCATAATTTCAATTTTGATAGGCTTGTGGAAGAGTCTCGGGTGCAGAACATTGAACAGGCCTTGGTTCTGGCCAATGCAGACCAAAACTTCTGGAACAAAGGGGAGAAGCTACGGTACACTCAGGGAGAGCTGGTTGCTGCTGACCTTTGTGCAAAGGTGGTAGCAGTGTGTGGTATTGTCTTACCTAGACAACAGTTGGAGCCTAGAGAAAATGTAAGTCAAACTGATACGTATTATGACTTGCATGAGAGTATTTAAAGACTTGTGTTTTTTCAGTTATTTACAATCTACAGGTTATTGTCCATACAGGACCACAATTGGGTTCTGGCATCTCGGTCATTGTGCAAAGTCGTCATTAAGCAAGCTGCCAAATGGCCACTTTGCTCAATGACCATAATCCCAGCTCTTCCATTTGAAATTATTATGTGGACTGCCAGGGAGAGGGCCTGGGCAGGGAGAAGGTTAGCATTCTGAGATAGCGTTTTCCCCTCCCAGAGACTTTCTGAGCCTTCCAGAGGGGAGTGGAAAACATTACGGAGGGGAAATCTGGCTACTCTTTCTCCTGTAGGTTTCTTTATAGAGAATGATATTTGAGAAAGGCAAATAGCAGATTCAGGAGAAGCTTCATATGACAAAACAGAAGTGTTCTTTTCCATATACAGGCAGCTTGATTTGGAGTTCTCTGCATCAACAGGTTCCAGTTTTATGTTCTGCTCAGTTCATCCCTAAGATACTTAAGAAATTATTACTAATTTCTTAATTATTACAAGTTCTGTGTTTTGGTCCTCTTAAATCTAATATTAGCTGAAAACATTGTCTTCTCTATTACAGCAGGAAAACACCTTGAACCATTTTGTGTTGGTGGATTCTGTCTGTGCGCATCTCCAGAATCTGGCCATGGCTGTGTCTTCACAAAAGGCAGTGCTCCTCGAAGGGCCAGTAGGATGTGGCAAAACATCTCTGGTAGAGTTCTTGGCAGCACTTACAGGAAGAACAAAGCCGCCTCATATTCTGAAAGTCCAGCTAGGAGATCAAACAGACAGTAAGGTAAACGGAAACCTGTTTTAGGAAAGTATCACCTTAATATTTAGATGTTTAAAAAGAGTTAAAAAGCCAATTGGATCATATGCTTTCTTGGCGGATTTTTTTTGTTGTAGAAACCATATTGAGCTGTAATGAGTAAATGTACTACTGAAGTTCTGGATTTATTGGAGAGAAATGAAGCATTATAATATAAATACATTTCACATCTTGGAAAGCATGGTCATCCTGGAGAACCAGAGAGGACAAACGACATGTTTCTGATGACATCATCATGCATATGCATTTTGGATACTTATGTCAGGAACTGGCACAATCCATAATAGGGCTTTTAATTATTGAAATCATTCAGTGCATTTTATTTTAGTGATCCTTTGGTTTGTTGTGATTGCTGCTGTTAGGAAGCTTAAAAAAACTTTTTATCTAATTGTTTGCAAGTGATACCTTTACTATCTTCGTAAGAAAAAAGACCAGAAATTTGTTGTCATTCAGAAGCTCTCACCATTTGAAAAGAAAGCGAATGATGCAAACATTTTGTTTCTGTTTTTATTTTTATTTTTATATAGACTTTGCTGGGCATGTATCGTTGCACAGATATACCAGGACAGTTTGTGTGGCAACCGGGGACCTTGACTCAAGCAGTTCGCAGAGGGCACTGGATACTTTTAGAAGATATTGATTATGCTGCCCTTGATGTGGTATGTTTTTGTACTTTATAGAAGCGCTTTGTGAATGCTTGGAATGAGAATCATGCTTACTTTCTCTTAAGGTTTTATTTCGTGGAAACTAGTGATTCATTTCTCCAGACAACTACTCTAGATTATTTCTTTTTAATTACCGGTAACTCTTTCAGACAGAAGGCCCCCTGTACTTTTTACTTTGGATTGGATTGGATTTATTACATTTATATGCCGCCCTTTTCCCCGAAGGGGACTCAGGGCGGCTCACAAT